CAGAGCGCAATTAACTAATTACATTACTATTTTTGGGTGTTCCATGTTGTTTGTTCAGGTTACTTTATTGCGGTTCAGAGGGTTGCGGTGTGTTGCTTTAAATTTCGAGGGCGTAGCGTATATGATTGCAGTTTAATAATGATCCCCTCACCCACCGTGTATACACGGGATACGTGTGCTGCGGTAAAACGGACAAAAGCTCCCAAATGCAACACAAACAAAGATATCTGGTTCGGTGTTGGCGTGCGTTTCTACAACCGAATCCTACCTCTACACTCCCGTTTCCGGAAATATAATATCCGCGGATAATTAGATAGAGATTTCCCCTCGGATGAGAGGATGAGGTTGTTACTTCTATCTCTATCTCTGTGTTACATGTGTATATATACACACGTGTCTGTTCGAATGCGATTCCTAAATCCTCACGGCTACCGTGTCCCATTTTCATTTGCACTGGATCGCGGTAATAAATTACACGGCTCCTCCAGCCACCCCCAACGGATATTTACAGCCAAGCGCCATCTTATAGCGCCGGTGGAAAGAATATGCAATTGACCTTCGTGTCCCGTTTGTCCCAAACCGACAACGAGACAAATTAAAACCGACTTTATCGCACGCGATAAATCCATTGCGTTTGTAACAAAACATAGCACGTGTAAAAATAACAAATCTGTTAAAAATAACTCCAACAGTTAGAATGAAGAAAAAAAATCAAATCTCTTTGAAGTCCTTATAGAAAACAAAATGACACGTGGGGCAATAGTGAAATTAATGATGCGATTATAAATTGAACTGCAATCCGGAAATATATTTATTACAATTGCAGAATTTCATGACAAAAAACTACAAATCTCTTACAAAGAATAATAATATCGTTATCCTTCTTGCAAATTTTAAAACATTTATTTTTAAGGATAATTTGTACCAACGGGTCAAATTAAAAGGGACTTTGATAAATCCACTACGTTCATAACAATTGTACGTGTAAACATAACAAAACTGTTAAAAATAACTCCAACAGTTTGAAAAAAAAGACCTTCAAATGAAGAACAAACAAAATAACATGTGGTACAATAGTGAAATCAATGGTACAGTTATAAATTGAACTGCAAACCGGAAATATATCTATTACAATTGCAGAATTCCATGAATACAAATCACAAATCTCTTAAGAAGAACAATAATATCGTTATAATTCTTGCAGGATTAAAAACATTTAATATTTTAAGGTTGATTATAATAATGTGACCATATATTAATTTCCTATTTTCTATCGATGAATTTTTCATTATTTTCTTCGTTAATTTATCCAAATATGTAAATTAAATGTATATGTGAATTTCAGAATAAAAACTATATTAATTTTATAATGGAAGAGCTGCAATGAGCGCGCTGCAACTATTAGTAATAATGAAACAATATAAAAAATGAATTTAAAATCGAAAATTCTTTTAAAAAATTGAAATATTGAGTTAATCACAAATTTAATTTAGAATAAATAGAGATTTATTACAAATCCATACTTATCGTATCTATTTGGATTAAAGTACTAAAATATCAATGTTTTTAAGGATAACTAAAATAAAATCAACATCTTTGATATATTCAATAGAAGCACAGATGAAATCTGCTGTATGTTCCTTAGAAATCTTGAATAAACTACAAATTCATTGCAGAAAAGAAAATAATGTATGTATAATAATAGTAAACTCAATGGATCAAAGACAAAATAATTGCAATAAAGAAAGTGTAATAAAAATTAGAATTACATAATAGTACTGGTATGAACGACGAAATTCTTAAGGAATTATCCTTCAAAATTAAAAATATTGATATCCTTATTATACTACTACAAATTCTAATCTTTTATACTTCTTTAAAAACATGAAAAATATTGTATAACGAGTTTTTAAGTATGTACAATATTTTAGCAAATTTATATATATATATATAGTTTAAAATCGATTTTGTGTTAAATAATTATAATAATTAATTCACTTTTATATTTTATGTCTAGCTACAAAAACTGGTTTTTAGTTGAAAAAATAAATATTTTAATTTCTCCAAAAAAAAAAAGGTTTAAAACCTCTAAATTGCAGAACATTGTAAGCTTATAAATCTGATGTAGTCACTTTAATATGTAAAAGTTTCAATTTAGTTATGAAACAGTACAAATATTAATAACAAAGCTTTACATATTTAATAAAAGGTCGAATGATTTTAATTAAAACAAATTTTTCATTAATATCTTTTAAATTAATATAAATATTAAAAAAGCAAGTCAAGTAATGATAAATAAATATCTTTATTATATTCTTGAGCAATAATATATTAATTGTAATTAGATATTATTTTTATATTTACAATCACAATTTATTATTTACAACCTTATTTTCTCATATACTAATTTTTATTAGCCCTAATTTAGGTTAAAGGGCGAACGACCAAAGTATTTTTGCCCTTATATCTATTATAATTTTCAAGAGTCAAGCAATCATGCAATAAAGTTATTTTTAAAGTAATTATCATCAAATATTTAATTAGAATATACTTAGTATAGGTAATATGTACATCATTATAATAATCATAAACATTTAGTTTAATATTTTCTTAATTAATCTTTGCAATCATCGAGCTATGCGTCTCATTTAATGAGATATAATATTTAAATATAAAATTTATTAATACGTAAAGTAAAATTTTTAGTATACATACAAATATATACATTTCTTAAATTATGTTTCATAATGCGATTTTGTTAAATCTATGATGACAATTAATTATATGAAAAAATGTCACTGTCAAATGAATTCATCTACTGCTTTTAAACTTTAGTTTAATAATGAAAATCTAATTAATTAAAGTAATGTAAAATTTATTATATACTATAAAATAATTGCTGAAATTACTTAAATAAAAACAAATCTTTATATTATTGCATAATTCAAAATGAAAACTTTCAGTATTTTCATTACTGAAATCGATGCCGTATAATGTCGGTATTTGTTATTTTTTTTAAAGTCGGAAAAGTTTAATTTTGCGAACGAAACCTCGGGGATTCTGATCCAGGATTGAAATTGGTCTCCTAGTCACCATATGCTATACGGCTTTGCATTCCATTAGATTATGTTATTCCGGATATAATTGGAATTACAAAGTATTAAAACATACAACAAACATTAATTGTTATGTTATCCGGAATTTCCATTGTGCAATGAATGCGTACAGCAGTTGCTTTATAAGTAATGCAGATGGGAATATTATGAACTAAACTTTAACCTTTTAATCCCAAAGCCAACGCTGATCCAGACAACCTTCCATAAATTCAATATTGAAATTTAAAAAAACAATCAACCGATAAAAACACCTTTCCAACTAATAAATCAGGATTTGCATATGAAAAAAATAAATACTGTTACAATATAAAAAAAGAAACTTTAAACGTGTAAATTATGGTTTTCGATGCTCCTCATCATTTACAATAAATTCAATTATGTTTAAAGTAAATGATTTAATTATAATGTTAATTAAAATAATCATAGTAATTAATTTTCAATAGGATTGTTAATGAAGTAAACGTACTCAATTAAAATATAGTAATTAATAAACATTAATTGATTTATTTTGCAAATTGAAATTATAATTATACTGAGAAAATAGAAAACAAATCATAATTGATTTCGAAAGGAGAATTTATGTTTTATTTTGGCTAAACTGGATTTCTTTCAATATTTAATTAACTATTAAACTTGGATTATATAAAAAAAAGTTTTTAAAATTGATTTGTAAATGAGGTTGCGTAATTTTAAATAATAGTTGTAATTTGTTTCGTAATATGCAATTAAAACAATGTACATATTCAGTGTTTAATCACAATCCCGTAGGAATAAATAGAACGTTATAGTTTACATGCAGCTAAATAGCTTTTCCAACAAGAGTTAATATGTTGTAGTATTAAAGAAGTTATGAGTGTGCGATTACATAAACATATAAAAACTAAAATTGGGGTAACATTAAATTTAATATTCTTTAAATGAAGAAGGGATGTTTACATTTTTTGTTGTACTTGAATCAATTTTTAGAGATTAACAAGAAACCAATTGATATATGTTATTTATAGCGGTGCGATTTTGAACGAAAGACGATAGTTGACTAATTTGATGCAATCTTCGGGGTAATTTATTATCGAGTGGGACGGTTCAATTAATCGGAGTCTCCCTTTTTAATTGGAAGGCTTTCGCAAACGGGCAGCAAATGGTGTTATAATTGATTTTCAATTAATTATCTTTAAATGTTTACACATACACACACTTCCGGGCAAAACCGAATCAATTTCCATTCAACTGAATACAAAATTCATTTGTATTGAATAGTTTAATAATTAAATTAATACATTAGGTATTGATTATATTTGATAAACTATATTTGTTTGTATTGTAAATCATCATTATCGTTTGGGTTGTAACTTTATATAGAGAAAAGCGTGATGAAGTTTTGATGAAGTGTAATAGTAGCACATATATCAAAACGAAAAATTGAAAAGAAAATAAGGGTTGTACCTACCGGAGACACTCGCCTCTTCGTAAAAATTAAACTACGTTCTTTCATTTCCACACTCGAAGTCCTCTTAACGCTTAACTAAACTAATTCCTAATTAGGTTATGCTTAGTCTTACATGCATGATGCGTGTGTTCTTTTTGGCACTCTTTGCAACGACTAGGAATCTCAGAGCTTTTCATATATATATATTTTTTCTCTCGTTTTCAATCAAACTCACTAAACATAACAAAACAAAGAAATTGTGTGCACCTCACTCACTCACTCACTAAAACAAAAACGCAGAATTAGTTAAATTTCAGGACTTCCGGCCTCACAAAATGGATGCGCTTATTTATTTTGTAAACTGTCAACTATTTTTATTTTTTATTAAATTTTGTTTTTGATCTTGAAACGCTTCCATTTTGTGTAGAAGCCTACTTTTAGATGTTATGTATGTGTGTATGTATGAATGTAGGTAGGTGTGTTGTGTACGCGTGTGTTTCCTCGCACAGTGAGAGTTCATGAAGTTTACAAATTACACAATTGGTTTGAACGGGGTTTGAAGGGGGTGGGTGGTGTAGGTCGGTTGGTTGGTGGTCTGACACAGGGAGTCGATTGAATAGTAATCGATTGATTTGTCATCGGGTGATTAATGTTGTGTGCCCAAGCAGAATGGCTTCGCGACATCCACAATTTTTGCAGTTGACCGCATACGTTATTTACTAGTTTCTTTTTGTTGTTATGTATTTTGTTTTGTTGCGTAATGAAAATGAATAAATCAACGGAATTGTGAATCTGCGTGTTCAGCGTGGAAAATTGCAATTGGCGTACGTCACAACAACCCGCTTGTGTTTCGAAGGCACCTGTAGGTATCTGGTGAGCAAGGGGACGGACGGACCGACAGACACTCTATCTCATACCGTTGTTTCTCTGTCCACGTGGATGAATTCCACCGGGAGCGGAGGTGCCTTATGTCAGGAGTTGAGACCCGGGTCAAGTAGGCGAGGACCCGTCAGAAGCTTCTTCTTGGCTAGCCTGCGGCGCCTTCTCGCCCTCAAACGGTGCAGGGATAAGCAGATCAGCAGGACGAGGGAAGCTGCTACGGCTCCGGCGACGGCAAGAGCGGCGGCAGGTAGAGACGTCAATAACCTTAACAAGAAACATATGTTGCAGTAAAGCCGGGTGGATCGTTTCAAATAAATATATTACCTAGAGGTGGCTCCGCATTGGGCTTCGCTTTCATCCCAACCGGATGGACAGTGATCCTTGCCATCGCACCAGAGCTCAGGACTGATGCACGCATCCAGTTCGGGACATTTATGCATGCATTCGAACTCTGTATCATTGGCACTGGCGTTGATTGGCACTTGGAGTTGCTGCAGCAGCGAGGATCGCGATCTCGATATCTCTAACCAACTGAACGCAGCCACTCCCTGCTCGTGGCTAATCCATTCAACCAAAAAGTTTGGTGGTTTCTGCACGTAATGAATGGAATCCTCACCCCACCATTCCTCGCTGAACACGTGCACAGCCAGATGCCGATCGCCAGGAGTAGTCGGACAAATAGCCCTCACCAGTTTCGGAGGTTTCCCCGAATACACCAAGATTCTATTAGTAGTGGGACATCTGCTTGGCTCTTCCGGTCTTGGTCTCAACGGCAAAAACGCTCCCCACGATAATAAGAACAAACTCCTGTTGAATCTGGATTCCACCAACCAAGGCATTCCCGAACACAGCAACTCGCTTCTATCAATCGGAGGACTTGCGAATTGGACGTCTCCTCCGTATCCGCGCACCCTCTGCTTCCTCGGACATTCCGGCATGCTGACAATCTCGAAAGTGGCGTGGAAATGTAGCAGCGTAAAGTCTTCAGAAATATTCATATCTTTGGTCGTAAAGTGCAGCTCGAGCGTCCTGGACGATGACAGCAATGACATGGGTCTATTCGACAAAGACGAGTTATCGCAGAGGCAAGCTTTGGGAACTCTGATATCGCGCCAGGGCAGTTCCCAAACACTTAACTCGGCCACGCGACCTCCAGGGAGATATTCGCAACTAGGTCTGCCGGTGTGGGCATCAGAAACCGACTCGCAACTTGGACTTATGCCGAATGAGGCGTTATTCAGGACAAGTCTGACGCGCTCGTCCACCCCCGCTTCTATCCTGTAAACGCAATGCAAATCCTTGGCGCCTCCACGTCCGAACAGGAAAGTGTTCCTCGGACCATTGATTTCGCCGTGCCGCATATTTTTAAAGATCCTGTGGCAAGGACCTGGTTGCTCCTTCCCTGGCCACGGTTCTCCGCCCAAGCGCGTATCAATGAACTCATACTTCAATTTAAACGATGCAGGATGCAGAGCCGTCCCATCCTCTGTATGATGTTGAATGATCAAAGCTCTTCCCGTCGACAAATAACTTTCGGACGTAGTGCATGGCCTCGTTATCCTCGTGGAATTGCTCAATGCGCTGTGATCGCACAACTTCGGACTATCGTCGCATTTGTCTTCCAGCAGCAGAGCGCCATCCCAGATTCTTAACCTCGTCGCGCAAGTGCCTCCTGTCGAGCTATTACCTATTAGAGCCTGGGCGTTCTCCCCGACCAACAAAGCGCGCTGCGAATAGGACACGAAGCTGATCCATACTAAATCGCCCAAATGGCCTCTAAATTTGTACGTGCATGTAGTATTTGGAGGCAGTGAATGCCGTGGGCTAATCAAACTCCCTCGACGGCCTCTTCCGCTCCAAATCTCATCTCCGTCCTGATTGGTAGCATTCACGTCAAAATCGCACCGCAAACTGTCTCGAGAGTAGTCCAGAGAGTCGGAATCGGCGAAGATGACATCCACGTCCAACTCGAAACCACGCAACGGGGAGTGAGACGGTGGTGAATGTAAAGGGATGCTAAATGGTGACGAATGGAAAGCAACAAGCATTTCAGGTCCACGAGACACAACCCTCGGTAACCAATCTCCACCGCAATATTTAGCCAGAACCGGATCATTTGTACTTCCTCCATCGTAAAAGATCAAATGATCTCTTTCTCCAGTGCAATCGCGCCAAGCCCTTAAAGCCCTCGCAGTTTTATTCAATCCAGCCACGCTAATTGATCTCTTCATGTGCATTTTGTGGGCGGCTTCCTGTCGTACTGCGATCATGGCATGCTTGCAGGTTGGTACAATTTTCTGCCTGAGGCTCCAGTAGCACGACACGTTCCTTGGGTACATGCCCGGATAATTGGGCGATTGCAATCTGCACGGTTTCCTGTAACATTCCTCGAATTGTCGCGTACAGTAAGTGCCGGGGGCTACCTGACCCCTTTCCAGAGGGGCTGACGGTGAACCGAATCTAACGACGGCTTCCCTTCTAGACACAAACCGGTATCTCAATCTAAACTGGAAAGGTTGCTGCGGATTCTGGAACAACTTGATGCTGACAGTCACGGTGCTGGTCTCGCTGTAGTAAGCTGCAGGACCCGAAGAAGAACCGCACCAGGAACCACCGGTAAAAGGTCGACCCAGTTCGCTGAGCTGCATGTAACCGTCAGGACATCCATCCAACGCGGACGCCTCGTATCGACCCACTTTGAACTCATCAAACATCAGCTGTAACAAAGAAACAAAAATATTTATTTAATAATTCATTTTATTACAATTATGATAAAATTACATATTTTGTTTCCATATAAACTTAATATTTAGTTAAACAAAGTCTAAGATTAAATTTAAGTTTAAATTTATTAGTAAATTCAGAATTTGATTTTTTTTTAAGATTGTAGTATTCTGAAATAGATTGGAATTTTCATTTAGATTTGAAATTTTTTTCATCCAATTAAAAGTGTATTAAATCAAAAATTAAATTAAAAAAAAATATTATTGTTGCCAAAAACCTCATATAAATTTTAAAAAATATACTTCAAGTCTTCCAATGCGTATAGTAACATTCAACGTACCATTCTTTATTAGCGGCATAAAAAGCTAATTCGCGAATTGAAACATTAAAGTTTTATTGGATTCGAGGCGCGCAAATATGCTTAATGCCTCCGTCCCTTTTAATGCCCTGCAAATAATTAGAGGAGACGAGGGGAAATAAATAAAATCCGAGCCGTGCGATTTCGAGCAGCCCTCAGGTATTATTCAGGTGGGTGCAATAAAAGTTATCATACGTTCTGTTCTGCACTGTTCCCATCCCCATATCATCCCCTTTCTCCTCCACCAACTCAGTCCGACCGTAGAAAAACCAATATTTATGATACACAACCACCCTTCATATATTACTATCCTGCCGTCTACCTGCCCCGTTCCTGCTTTTCGGTTCTCCATTCTCGTATTCGCTTTTTCCTGCAAAGGCAATAAAATTGCTTTTGCTTTTCTCTTGTAGAATGCTCCGATGTCCCGACGCAATTGGGAAAATAATGTTTAACTTGTAACTTCCTCGCTGCGACCGACTTAATATTTACTACGTTACAACGCTGGCTTTCTACTGCAACTTTAATGCATCTCCCCCATGGCGAGCTTTTCGCAGTCGCTTAACTATTGTTTCTACAAGATTTATTAACTACATACAAATAGCCTTATAATTATAGTTAACTTTTAACTTATAGTACATAATAAAAATCATAACTCAAACATTAGATTCAAAATATTCATCTTAATCATTAACAAAATTAATTAACATTTACAGTTACACCAAATTAAATACACAATATTATATGGTATTATATTACAGAAATACTGTGAATGTTTCTGCCTGAAAATAATTATTAACTATTTTTCAAGAAATTATTTGAACTCATAGTTTTTATATCGTATGCAATTTATTGGTCAATACAGTATGTAAGGTAACCGAATGTTGAACGGTCAATATTCCTTGCATTCGTCGACTACTCCACTAAAATATCTCGTATTTCATACAACTCTATTCATCCATTTCCCTACTTTGATCCTTGAACCAAGTGCAAAACACATTCTTGGTAGTTTCATGTTTTGCATTGGTCTCCAATGTCAATGAAGATTGAAGCTTTCAACGCATATTACATTCCTACACTATGGTGTCGTTTGATCTAAGTTTATCACCTTTTGTTTTACTAAACTAAATAATAGTCTTTTATTTCAAATTTAGTAAATTAAAATTTACAAGCTTTCAGCTATTACCATTTTCATGTAATAACATGTGAAAATTTTAAAAAGGTAATGCTTATTTATATTTAGAGAAGTTCCTTCAAGAAATAAAAGGATAGGCTTGATTCTCATATAAATGTATAGTCAAAAGTGTTACAGTTTATGAGTATTATTCATTATCTATTAAGAATTTATATTGGAAAAAAACTTATGTAAAGATGGATTAGAAGTTGGTAATTGAAGTTGAATTGTTGATTCTTATTAAGATAAAAAGTGGCAAGTTGGTGATTGTATTGGTTTAGTCTTGACAAACATGGTAATCCGATGTGAGCGTCAGATCCGAAAAGTGAAATAATGAGCAAGGCCTCCCATGCTGTAATCTGCAAACAACGATTAACTGAAGCGAGGTCCTCTCCTCTACTCTTTTTTCATCATCATCCGAAGCTCTTTTTCTGTTTTCCTTTTTATATTTCCCTTTTCTCTGTTCCTCCGCATTTCTCTCTTCCACACTCGCTTCCTATCTATTTTTTTTTGTATCGCTGGAGGAACGAAATAGTCGACTATTCGTTACGTTGGCTTCCCTTAAGGACAATGCGATCCCGAACAATTATTTTGCAGATTATCCTCGCGCCGATATCCGAGATGGGGAAAAGAATGATCCTCTTTTTTCTGTTTCTCTTTCTCTCTTTTGGTACGGCCCGGAAAAACGGGGCCAATTCACTTCGAGGGCAAACGCGATAGAAGAAGAAGGAAAAGCATATATTTCGCGCCCAGGAGAGGAAAATAATCCTTTCACGTCCTTCCTCCATACTCTTCCTCCTTCTGCTGTTTTTTTTCTATTTTCCATCCCTCACTGTATGCACATTCTCTCAAAGTGAAACGTATCTGAATGTAATGCCTCAAGGTGTACGCTAGCGCAAAGTGAATGGGGTCCGGTGACAATTGACAAGGGACACAATGTCCCTTATCCGATTCTAGTGTAGGAAAACTGAGCGCGTTTCTTCCGACGCTCGCTCCACGAAATTTATTGTGAAATGTATCCCACCGTCTCCGGATAAGAAGTTTCGTTCTTTTTTTCTTCTTCTAGGTTGTAATTATGTTTATGTACCTGGCGAGACGGTGCTGATTGATGAAGGTTTCCTTTAATTGTCCTTTCCATTTATCAAGGATAAAGCGCGCGCTGATAATCCTGCCAAGGAATTTGTTTATTTCGCGCTTCAGTTTTTCAACGCGAACAAAAAAAAATCCCTACCACAGCAACTTTATGATAAATCGATTGTTAAGCTCCGTTCTTAAGTGCACAGCTTTTGTTAGAAAAACGTCCAAACAACAATATCATTCAACCTGACGTTTTCGTTTGTCCCTTTTTGTTTGTTTCGCTTTTCAATCCTTCTCCACCTCCTCCATCTACCACTATAATATATGCGCGCATTTTGATTAAGGACCATTTGTTACGTGGCGCGAACTGCAGTCAGGGAATTGATCACAAAGATTGCAGGGTTCTAATTATAAATGGTCCATGGTTCGTGTGCAATTAACAACGCTACAGTTATAAATTACAAGTCCCTACTCACACACCAATTAACGCTACAATTGCAAAACACTCAGACTTATACAAATATATTTATTTATATTTAAATTTTCATAGTTCATAATTTGCGCCTCAGCAAGGGGGCGACGGCCTCAGGCGCCGGTAATATGTAAAAGTATTGTTTTCTTAAATTAGGGAGCGCAAATTGGATATTTCGCATTGCTGCGGTACTCTTTATAATGATCACTTATATTACATAAGATCCAGTTCAAATTAAAGATTTATCAGAAATTCAATTACAACTCTAAAACGCCAATACAATAAATTATATAATAGTCTTAATAAAAAAAATAACTTGTTTAACTTTCGTAACATGCGAAATATCAAGAAATTGGGATTATTTCATCATTGTAGGAGATTTTTCAAATAAAAGGATTTTTGGCAAATATGTAATAATATGTTTGCGTTTAGACTCATTATTCTATTAGAGATGTATTCTATTATATAACAAATTATCAAAGGGTATAGGTCACCCATTCGAGCTACGAGTTGTTTAACTTTCGAAAGATATGAAAAATTAACCTCAAAAGTTATTAAAGAAAAGTTATTTAAAAGAAATCTAATTCAAATTGAAATTATTTCTATATTAGTTAAAGCACATACACTTTTGAAACCAATTTCAGCAAAGTCTTGTTGGAATTTATGCTGTTCTGTGTGAAATATATAGATGTGCAAGACATGTGAGCCAGTAAAAAGTCTAATCTGTACCATATTTCGCATCGAAGTCTGGTGAGCTTAGATTGATTTACAGCTAATACCGTTTTCATCAATATATCTGAACGGGTTCAGATAAAAAAAAAGGACGAAGCAGATCGATGAAAAAGCGTGCTACACAAAAAAAAGATAGACACATCCTTCGTTATTTAATTATTTATTTCTGTACGTAATTCCCTACTCTTGTAACAACTGGATTACGTTGCGAACTTACATAATATACATGTTGTGTGCCGTTAACTAGGTGAACGCTAGTAATAAAGTTGAATTCCATTATGTGTAATATCAGGGCATCATCTTTGGATTACATTTTGCGTGCTGCAAATTACTCTAGGGTTTACAGTGTAGTCCAATGTTTTTATTAATTACGTTTATTTTCACGGTGAGCTGATAAATTGGGGATCCCGTAGTGTGCACGTAATCCAAGCGAGATTAGGGTGTTCATAGTGTGCTCCTGCATTGTCTCCGACATGAGGAGGATTATCCTGGCAGAGATACTTAACGACGCTTGATCTTTGATTGTCCCAGTTAATCAGATTAACTCACCTGGAGCGAAAATAGGTAAACAGTGCGCGATACACCCTCTTATCCTGCTAATAGTAACGTGAGGATTTCGACCCCTAACATCGAAGGACTAAAAAGAACCGCATATTTTATTTCTATAAAAATCAGCAGAATCCTCCAGCAATTCATTACACTTCGACGAATATTTTTTTTCTCTCTTTCTCTCTCAAACTCTGGTCCTTCCCCTTTGGTCAGCGAAAATTGCGTCCCCAATTTATGTGTATTTGCCTTTTCCCCTCTCCAATCTTCCATTCTTCCTCGTGCACCTATTTTTTTCACTCTCAAATCGCAGCCCCTGGGAAATCAAATTTATAGACCATCTCTTTAAAAATTTATTTTCATATTATTTTTTTTTTAGGACGTAACCGGAAAAATCACGCGCGATATTTGCTCTTCGAATTGGAGTGAAAAAAATGAAGGAAAAGTAAGTAATAGATGACGTTTTATTGATGGATCAATATTTTGAAGGGTATTTGTCGTTCCAAGCACGGGACACGTTTTTTTTTCTTGATGTCACGAGGTCCTGATTGAGGTCCTCATACGTGAATAGATTGGAATCCCATTCAGTATTGAAACCCCAATGATGTTTGGTGCGTTTGGTATATCCATCATCTCC